CGTCACGCCGCAGGGGGGCTGTCGGGGCGGCGGCGATCGTGGCGACGCCTGCAGAGCCGCCTTTCAAGGACGAAGACACTACTGGGCTTATGTGCCGGTGACGACGGTCAGAAAAACAAACAAATGCAGCCGCGACAGTCGCTCGGCATTGCAGCCGAGGCGCTAGCGATCTATGTGTTGCAAAATATTATATCAAAATTATTTGTGGACTGTACGCACTGCTTCGTTTCCTAGCTACATCTCGCCCAAGACTATGCAAAGCTTCGCCAGGGTTCACTTGATACTTCTTCGTTGTAAGATAGTTCCAGGTCTGTGCTTTGACTGATGAGGAAATAAGTTTAATAGTTAAAGGTTGAAGGGCGCGTTAATTACCTTGGCTGTTTGTGCTCGGCTGTTATTTATCACATGCTGCCTGATGGCTCAGTATGTCACCAAAAAGTAGCTAAAAGTCGAGACGGTAAAAAATCATCCGCGGAATAAGCCAAAGCAACATGGCTTGAGCCTGGGCTCAGGTATCCAAAACCCTGTTTTCCTGGTTAGGTTGGGTCACACTCGATTCGGAACTTGATAAATGCTCGCAATGATACAATGAAGGAAACATGCCCTTATGTGAGGTATCGCCAAGAAGCTACGCAACCGGTAATGAACGAAAAAAGCTGGCCCTTTCGTCGTCCAAATTCCAACAGCTCGTGTGGACGCGTTGCACGATCAGCCGATCACCGCGTCGCGTGTGCACTGGTGGATTGTCGCCTCGTGAAGACGGTGGATGTGTGTTTGGGAGGTGCGGTCAGGACGGAGCCGGCGGAGGGCAGCCTCCAGTGCCTCCAGGGCCAGGGATGGAGCCGGCGGAGGGCAGCCTCCAGGGCCTCCAGGGCCAGGGATGGAGCCGGCGGAGGGCAGCCTCCGGGGCCTCCAGGGCCAGGGATGGAGCCGGCGGAGGGCAGCCTCCAGGGCCTCCAGGGCCAGGGATGGAGCCGGCGGAGGGCAGCCTCCAGGGCCTCCAGGGCCAGGGATGGAGCCGGCGGAGGGCAGCCTCCAGGGCCTCCAGGGCCAGGGATGGAGCCGGCGGAGGGCAGCCTCCGGGGCCTCCAGGGCCAGGGATGGAGCCGGCGGAGGGCAGCCTCCAGGGCCTCCAGGGCCAGGGATGGAGCCGGCGGAGGGCAGGCTCCTTGCACAGCAAGTGAACAGGGAGAGATGAACTAACAGGTTAACAGGTCAACAGACAACGGGGAAATGTGAACCAGATGGGCTCCACCCCCGGGCGTCTGGCGGCGGCGTGGGAGGCGGACCCATCAGTCGTGGGGAAGGCGGCGGCCCCACTCTCGCCACTCCCGGAGATGCCACGGCCATCAGCCCCAAGGTTCAGGGGCGCTGGGCGAGCCTCCGGCGCGATAGGCGCTGAGTTGTGGGAGCTTGCAACGGCGTTTAGCGAGGTGCTTTCGGAGGCCCGGCGGAGATACAGCGGAGATACAGCGGAGCTCATTCCCCGCTGAGCCTCAGGCCGGCACGTCGAGACACCGATGCAGCTGGTGACGGGCGATGGGGTGAGGATGCTCGAGTGGGCGCGTGTCTAGCGCCGGACGGGCTGGCATGTGATGGGGAGGGCGAGAGCCACGCCCCCCCCCCCCCTCCCCCCTCTGGACCAGCGTCATCCGCCGTCGCCAGACCTCGAATCACAACCAGGCTCGCTTGGGGTTTTCTTTGGATAGTCGGCCTGCTTCGAGCTGCGTTTCCATGGCAACAGCTTCTGCGGAACAAGGCACTTGCGCGGGTGACCTGATTTTTTCAATGGAGACGTAGCGGCGCCTGATGAGACCGGCATGGGTCAAAAAAGCTGGATAAGCCGGCCGACTGCCTCGCTTTTGAACGCCTTTTTAAGCAGCTTATTGGATGAGAAATACCGGGAAGCTTCATAATGAAGAAAATGCCCTTCAACACAGTGCGTGCAATAAGCTTCATCTGATTTACAATCTGAGTATTGATGGGATGTGTCCGAACATTTCCGACTCCGCATGTCGCTCCAGCACTAATCAACTACGCGTTCACACGTCTGACACCTGCAACATCTAGTTGGGTCGTGGACATAAGTCCTTACAAGAATGGAGTGCTAGCTAACGCTTACTCCATCGGATACTGCAACCGACGGGAGCGCCAAGATGATGGCGTCAGTGTCTACGAGATTCCCCTTTCACTTTTCCTGATGCGATTCCCCGGCGTCAGCCGTCTTCACACATGTCATCGACTAGGCACACACACACACACACACACACACACACACACACACACACACACACACACACACACACACACACACACACACACACACACACACACACACACACACACACACACACACACACACACACACACACACACACACACACACACACACACACACACACACACACACACACACACACACACACACACACACACACACACACACACACACACACACACACACACACACACACACACACACACACACACACACACACACACACACCTCCCCCGGAGGTCGTGACACGTCATCACACATTTAAAGCAGTCTTGGATGAATGGGCTTGCACAGTAATGGACATTCTGATCTCTCCTTGATCTCTTCATGATCTCGTACCTCGTAGGAAAGCTCGTTCGTGCCCAGCATTTATGTAATGTAGTTGTCCTTCGTAAACCTTATCTTTTTTGCATCCGCCAGCGTGCACAAAGGTATAATTTTGCTTTTCTATCTTTGAGGATGGTTGTTGGTTGATGAGCGAATGGATTCAGACGCAGGAGGTCCACTTTTCCCCCAGCGTTCATCCTCATGCGGCGCACAACCAAACGCTGGAGCAACGGTGGAGTTCTGCTCAGTCTGCAGACATCAGGGAAGTCTGGGTCTTCCCTTGGGCGACTTGGTCCCTGCTGGAGGTGTTGGTGATGGGCTTTGGTGACGCCTGTTTCGCATAAGTTGGTTTTGCGTTCGACATCCTCCTCATCCACCTCAGAGCCTTACTGGTGGCGGCTCAATACCCGCTCGGGAGCCCGTCACCGACAGGGATGCCCCGGTGCTATACGAGGCGACCGACGCCTCTGACACGGTCGGGAGTAGCTGGAAGACCCCTCCTTGTCCTGACCGTGGTTCAGCGCCGCCGCCCTTTGATCATTTGAGCCACCTTGCGCGCCCAGGCACTCCAAGCGGAAACCCGCGAAGGGCACCCAAAGACGGCACGGGCGACGCTGGACCCGTATGGGCCGACGGACCCCGCGCCCCCGGATATCCTGGCCAAAGTGGAGCTTTGAAACGCGCCGTGACTGACCTGTACGGCGCGGCCCCCAGCCACCAGCATGCAATCAACTCGGGGACGCGGGCGAGGGGCCACGACGACCCCGATGAAACGAGTATGGGGGGAGGGGGTGAGAGGGCTGGATGCGGGAGTGCAGGTGAAAGGGGAGGGAATGAGCGGGACAAGCAGCAGGAGCTCACGTGCTGGCAGGGTCACTAGGTCCTGCAATGAACAGTTTTTACCGTCCACCCGCCACCGGAGCTGGGACCCAACGAGACGCTACTCCCTGCAGTGGCCGAAGGAAGTATCCCAACGGGGGACGAAGCAGTGCGGCAGCGGACTGATGCATGCACCACATTAGTTAGTAGAACATGTAGAACACTGGTTCTACAAGCGCAAAGTTGGCTTACAGTTAGCCTAAAATTATAAATTAACTTAGAATTATGAAATTCATTACGAGGCCTGGGGGAACAGACATGGGAAGTGAAATGTCTTATGGATGGATGCTTTTATCACATTTTGCATCTATGTGATCATATTTTGTCGATTTCCCCAGCAGCTTCAATATTTCAAATTAGACAGAACAAATTGTCGTCACATGACAAAAACACAGGTCATCTGGAATGAATAAGTCCCGTCACAAAAGTATAGCTGAAAGTGCGCCACTGCTATCCTCATTCACAAAAATAGCGACCCACCAAAAGCCCCACTATCACACCAGCCACCTGTAACATAGCTGAAAACCAGTCAATCATCAGCTCACCTCAAATCCCACACACCATCACCTTTTCAGCCTGGCCAGCATGGCTTCATGGAAAATCACTCAACTGGCACGACACTTTTATTTATCTCCGATGAGGTGTTACGAGGTATGACCCGATCAGAAGCAGCTCGTCTGACGTTGATCGACCTTAGTCGTCGTTTTGACGTAGTGGACCACTCGGCGTTGATGGCACTGCTGTGGCAGAGCTCCAAATGTCTGCAGGTTGGATCCAAAACTACCTGGAGGAACACACGCAGCGTGTGGAACTGGATCAGACTGTCAGAACCGCAAACATGTCAACATCAGCGCGTTCCAAAGGTCTTGCTTCGGAGCATTGCTGCACAGGTCTTCGAAAACTACATCGCTTGCTTCGTTTCATTACATGTAAACAGCTTCCGTGTCGCAATAGTCCGGTGCGCTGACGACGCGCAGCGGACTATTACAGGACCTCGGGTCACATAAGCGGAGACGCAATGGTCCCTGGAGTCGGTGTTGGTCGTAGCGCGCACGTGGTTTTTACAGCATGGAGCGACAGGAAATGCCTCCAGGATCGAGATGTTATTGTGGCGGCCATCGACAACTTAAAGGTAGTGTCCCACCGTCGAGGCATGTTCGAAAAAAGCATACTATAGTGAAACCTCAGTTCCAGTTATGTTATACAGCGCCTCATTATAACGCTGGATTGTGTCACAGAAGCACTGCCAAGACATAATAAGGATATTAATTTTAATTATCTATCGGTTCCAATTATGCTATCAACGCTTTGTAACAGCGCTACGCCTCTTTCATACAGTCGCGACTGCTGTCGTCATGACAACCGCCGTAGCACCTCTACTGGTGCGAATAGAGGAACATCTATGATGCGCCCAGTGGGAGGCTAGGGCCACACCTGACCGCAGTACCCGCACAACTCCAGCGCAGTGGTGCGGCACGTGTCCAGCCTCAGATCCACGACTCTTGCGAAAGCCCCACTGTATTGCGCCCATTGAACACAAGCGAACAGATCTTGACAAACCCGGCGCAGAACGCCCACCGAGACATGGAACACTGCTAGAATGGTGTTTGATATTGGCTATTTCGGCACAGCCCACAGATGAACATGACACTGATATCTATAAAGCTACACCAAGCCGCAGCCCCAAAATATGGTTGACCAATCCCGACGCAGCACGGCAGTTCCCTCAGCACCAATCACATTTTGCCGCAGAGCACAGCGCACAGCGCGAGTCGCGCAACCGCGGACACAGCGCACAGCACGAGTCACGCAACCGCGGACACAGCGCACAGCATGAGTCGCGCAGCCGCGGACACAGCGCACACCATTAGTCGCGCAACCGCGGACACATCGCACAGCGCGAGTCGCGCAACCGCGGACACAGTGCAGGGCCGCGAGAAACGGCGAAGCGCACAGCGCCTACCACACAGCAGTGGAGCGGGCCACCGCTCTCCACTGACATTGGCGCACGAAACGAATAAGGACCAGCATCTCTTTTTCGCAAAGATTCCGCTGAAGCTAGATATGTAAGGTGCACGGCAGAACGCAACAATTACCGAGCGCAGTGACTGCCTGGTTTTGGCCGCGTGGTATCAGCGCACTGGTGGCATTGTGATGTACTGCACCGTATGTTGTGTTGCTACGACGCTGACCAACAGCCCGCAGTCGCTGCGCCCACAGCTATAGTCTGGAGACGAGCGCAGGCCCGCCGCGTGAGCGTCAGCGTTCTGCCAAACCCCGCTCTTATGTCTCTCTGACGCGAGTATCGGGGGCTCCAACATCAGGCACGCCAAGGAACCGCTGAGTGGGAGGAGCTCCGAGTATGCACGTCAGATGACGCCAAACGTTGAAGCCGGCCTTGACTGGCAGATGCGTTTAAAAACGAGGTGTAAAAGGACACATGGGACTGGATGAGAAGCCAAGCAGAGCACAGCACACATACATGGTTGCAAAATAATAAGTTCGGTTGAGGACCTATATCCTGTGGTACAGAAATGAACACCCGAAGCAAAATGCTATATGTGAAGGAAATTATCCACACAGTATTCCTCTCACCGCATGACAATGACCTAGTGTGCCGACAGTGAACTGAACTGAAATGTAGCTTTTCCGCCTGATCAAAGTACCACTGACGCCAGCTGTGACCATAAATAGGACAGGAAATGCCCAACACATCTGAAGCATTCCAGGAACACCACCACTCGCCGCGTGCCACTACCCAGATATTGACAACATCGCATTACGACGCATAACTGAATTGTGAACATAACACTGAGATATAGAAGAGTTCAACTGTGAACATAACACCGAGATACACACGAGGTAAACTGCGAACATAACAATGATATACGGACGCATGCTTGCGCGCGTATAATGACGAATAACTGCGCGGATAATCACGACTGACGTCGGCTCGCTGCACCGCACTGATCTGCACGTGCTAGACGACCATGCGCCAGGGCAGGCTGTTTCACGACGCATGCCCCTCCTGCGGTGGGAACATTCGCGATGCCTCGCGCAGATCGTGCCGGGAGAATACCGAAAACATCCATGGGTTAGATTCGAACCGGCGATCTCACGGTACTGACATGACAAGCCGGGCCGTAAAGGAGCTCGTGCGGTGTTGATAACCTAGGCTTCGTGGAGCACAGCCAAGACGTCCGCGAACAATGTCGAGATCCGTGTGATATCAGCTCAGACACTGGGAGGCGTCTGTTCACGAGCAAGCACATTATCGACGCAGCGTTTTGTCGCCTGGCCGCTCTGGGGTACCTGAAACAAAAAGGAAACAGGTGTCAGCTGATCGCGGCGTGGCGATGGCATACAGCAGGACAGGACCCCGGAAAAGGAGACATCCGCCACTTGCACACACACCCACATATGTGCTTGACCTGGAACGTACCGCCACATATGCGTGCGCCCGTTGTTCTGCCTCTCAGCTACAGACTTGAAATTCCTCCTTTGAAATCAGAGGCCACGTGATTTATTATTCTTGTTTGAATGGCGAACAGGAGAATGCGGCGAAGTTAAAGCCAAGCCAGTCAAGCCTTATATGGACTCAAGGTCGTGGACCGCCAGGCACAAGGCTTCTGGGGAGAGACGGAGTGCCGGTGGAAGCCTCCACGACAACGCTTTCACCACAAGGCGAACCGTCAAGAACAACGCCAACGGTGCATTTCTGTCCGGCATCATCGCTTCCCCTGTCGAGCGTGGGGGCACCGTAACAGAACGAACAAATCCTAACTGTGCAACGAGCTGAAATCCAAAGGCGCTGTTTGTGTTCAGATGTGCATGAGGTGCTGTTCGCCCAGCGTGGCGGTCAGCACCACCCCACATCAATCCCTCCAAGCAAAGCACGATGGCCAGGTGCTGACAACGGCCGCGTGAGCGTCTTTTGGTGATTTATTGTATGTCAAGGAGCTTTTCTGGAATGTTTCTGCAGCGGCGTTCCCAGACTAAGCATCACAGAGCGACAGCCCAGTATCTCACCAAGCTCGTGGCACCCGGGCGCTGATGCCACGACCCTATGGAAGCGGGACCGTCGGACGGGGCCAGGACGCGTCACATGTACGCTTGGCCTCGGGATCTTGTAGATCATTGGCTGTGCTGTGTAACGCCGGCTGGGCCCTCCGATCCTCGACCCCCAGGTGTACTCGTCCTCGACCCCCAGGATCTAATCCCTGGATCGAGACGCATCCAGTCGAGCATTGACCACGGATACCGTAGAGGACGCAGCACCGAAACGCTTCCCGACGTCATCACTGATCAGGCTCTGAGCGCCGTGGACGATGGTAAGGTTCTGAGCGCCGTGGATGATGGTAAGGCTCTTAGCACCTTGGATGATGGTGAGGCTCTGAGCGCCGTGGAGATCCTTGGGCTCTGAGCGCCTTGGATGATGGTAAGGCTCCGAGCGCCATGGATGATGGTAATGTTCTGAGCGCCACGGATGATGGTAAGGTTCTGAGCGCCACGGATGTTGGTAAGGTTCTGAGCGCCATGGATGATTGTGGGGCTCTGAGCGCCGTGGACGATGGTGAGGCTCTGAACACCGTGGATGATGGTAAGGCTCTGAGCGCTGTGGATGATGGTGAGGCTCTGAGCGCCGTGGATGATGGTGAGGCTCTGAGCACTGCGGATGATGGTGAGGCTCTGAGCACCATGGATGATGGTGAGGCTCTGAACACTGTGGATGATGGTGAGGCTCTGAGCACCATGGATGATGGTGAGGCTCTGAGCACTGTGGATGATAGTGGAACATGTGACCTGGTGTCGCTAGGTTAAGGTCAAAATGATTCCAAGTTGTACGGGACCGGAGGCTGTTCGACAAAATGAGGTTCTACTGAGTGGAGAATGAACGGTTCGCAGTCTATCTACATGACCATCCTCAGCAAAAGCTAGCTATTAGCAAAGACTGTCTGTCCAAGCGGCCTGCGATACAACCAACCGAAGTCATGCATGCATCTGGGCGAGCCACCGGGTGCATGCAGCGCAGCAGAGATCCAGCAGGAAAACTCAAAATAAAGTCCACAATGCAGAGGTCGGAAAAATATCGTCAGGTGTCCCCGCTGCCGATAAATGTTGACATGCCTGGCGGGAAATTCTGGACTGTTTTGATGGAAGAGGGGTAGCAGAATAGGATGAAAATTATTCTTAAACTGTTGAATTTGCAGGTGCCAATGAGCCCAGGTCTCCACAGATTTAACGTATCTTTCCGCTTTCTTCTTGAACATACCTTTCGGTGAGTGTGCTGCAACTCTTTACTTTTGTATGCGATACGGCGAGATATTTCTGGCCTGCGTCAATAAGTTTGATCCAAACAGATTGTAACCGGCACACATCCTCCCGTTCATGGCAATAATCGTGACATGCCTTTGATCCTCGTTCGCATTGAAAGGGCCCTGACGCGCGCACATGTCAAGTTTTGTTCACATGACGCGAACTGAGCCCAGCAAAGAGAAGGAAACTCATACAGGGGACTCCTGGTATGCTGAACTGTTCGCCGCCTGTCACGATGACTTGTTGAGAACAGACGCTCTTGAATCCAGAGCAGTGGAAATTTGGGTGGCATCACAGACAGTCATCTCAATTTCCAGCCGCACGTAGACACGTCACTGCAAAGCATTAACAATTCTTTGCTAGTTTGATGTATGCAAACCCATAACAAAAAGACGCCGCGAACATCCTCCGAGCTGCTGAAACCTCAATTGTCAAGTACTTCATCTCACAAGGCAAGTGCAGAGTTCGTAGCTGGACATGGTGCAGCACATGCCGAACTGTGGTGCGCGAGTCATCGCTGGCTGGAAGGGTGCAGCCACATATACGAAATTCTTCGCGAGCTGGACTGACTCCTGCAGACGCCTTGCCAGGCAATATCAGACATGGCAGTATAATGCACCCCGTGACAACGCCAGGCAGACGTTATGAATTACAGAACCGCACCTGCAGCTCAGCTCAACAGCCGTGCCGAACGAGATGCACCACCCGACAGCGCTCCCACCCATACGCACGGAGGTCATGGTGCCCACCTATACGCACGGAGGTCAGCGCTCCCGCCCATGCACACGGAGGTCAGGGTTCCCACCTATACGCACGGAGGTCAGCGCTCCCGCCCATACGCACGGAGGTCAGCGCTCCCGCCCATACACACGGAGGTTAGCGCTCCCGCCCATACACACGGAGGTCAGCGCTCCCGCCCATACACACGGAGGTCAGCGCTCCCACGGACATGACCTTGTCATCCCGGCTGTGGTGCTGGACAATCATGACAACCGGCTCCCATTTAATGCATGCTTGCATGGGCTCAACTTGCAGGTGAAACACCATCTCCGGCGGGTACATCATTGCCATTCGAAAAACCCGCGCATTCAGGTGTTATACATGCATAATTTTGTGCGTCTGACCTATTCCACTTAATGCGCGCTCTCAAATTGACCCCCCCAAAAGTTTTCCCGAATGGTTTCCGAGCGGCGCGGCTTAGCCGCGCCAGATTTTGCATACCTGTAAACAATTAAATAGCGGATTGTCTGACATTACGAATTTAGATATATCTTGTAAGGTCACTGACCTATGACGGGTCAAAGTCATGCCAGGGTTTCAGCGAAGGCAATTTCTATGCAATCATTCAAACTGATCCAACAGCGGAGTGTTAGACGACGCCATACATCTCTCAGATACTTTCTTACGCAACACAACAATTGAATAAACAGATTACATTGGCCTAGGGTCAGGTATGACGGTCAGACCAAGGTGAAAACCAACCTGTTTTATTACTTTAGGGCTTGCTGTATGTTGTAGTTTCTGACGCCCATTTCAAATTTATTGATAGCAGGAACCGCATTATACACCTTCCATGGATTTCTTAAAGGTCACAATAGGTCACTGAACTAAAATAGCCCGAGCCAACACTTTGTTTTTAGGAACATACTGTCTAGCGTAATCTTAGCCGCTTATTCAGATGCAGAACTCTAGGCAGTCTTGCATGATTTTGGTCGCCATGACTTTTAAAAGGTCAAAAAAGCTTATTGACCTTGACTGATTATGTGAGCTATTTCTTAGAGCAGTTATCTAGGTTCTAGGGACTCTTTGGAGAACGAACTGGAATTAAACTTTATCTGACCTGATTTGACCCAAAGGTCATGACCCAGAAATCTTATGCTTTGACCGAAGTGAGTTCACGTACAGGTCAATGCACTATGTGAATTTTGTGTTTCTAGCTCTCTTAGTTCCCGAGATCTCAGCGGGGTCAAATTGACCCCAACCGAGCGAAGGGTATCCAACCGGCCACCCGGGCGCGTGTTAAATATTCGCACGTTGGCCGTGAAACTCCAGACTTTATCGAACTGTCATGGCCCATCGACTTGAACTAATAGTCCGTATCTGACCACTGAGTATCTAAGTATCTGAGCTGTCTGTACCTGTCTGCAGACGCATTAGAGCAACGATCTGGCGTTGCTTTCATTTGATATCGCGTCGTTGGTGGCGAGCCAAGAAGGGTCCCGCCCGTTGTTTCACCCCACGAACTCAGATATCTAATATGGCAACTGTGATAAAGGCAGCCGAAGCGTCTGCTCGTGCCTGTGACAACGGCCGCCGAGGCGTCTGCTCGTGAAACTGATTGTCGAGGACGCACTGTCACTGTACCCCACTGCGTATAGACAGTTGGCAGGTACTGTACCCAGCCGGGGGTAGACGATTGACAGCTACTGTACCCAGCCGGGGGTAGACGGCTGACAGTTACTGTACCCAGCCGGGGGTAGACGATTGGCAGCTACTGTACCCAGCCGGGAGTAGACGGTTGACGGCTACTGTACCCAGCCGGGGGTAGACGGTTGACAGCTACTGTACCCAGCCGGGGGTAGACGGTTGACAGCTACTGTACCCAGCCGGGGGTAGACGGTTGACAGCTACTGTACCCAGCCGAGGGTAGACGGTTGACAGCTACTGTACCCAGCCGAGGGTAGACGGGTACAGCTCCGCGACTGGTACCCGCCGGCGCTGACGCCCAGGGGGACGAGTATGCGGTGCGTGGCGGACTCGCCGGCTGTTCAGCACCACCTCCGGGCTGCCGAAGTGACTGCTGCCGGCCAAGCTGTCGGGCGGGTCGCACCAGCTGCACGAAATGGCCAGTTGTCCGTGATCGTGCCTCGAATCGTGGCTCGTTCATGAATCGCCTCCACGTGCATGGCAGGACCAAGCGCATGTGACACGCAGCGGTCTGAGAAAACGCCGCGGCAGACCCCACTTCACACCCAACTTCGGACAACATCCAGACAACATCCAGACAACATCCAGACTTCGGACAACATCCAGATGGCGCATCGACCCAGCGGACCACAGGGGCTCACTGCGGCCCGGCTCTGACAGCACGTGCCAAGTTTGGCCCGCTGGTAAGGCCAACACCGCCTTCTGCTGTCCCTCCCCCCCCCCCCCCCCCCAGTGAGCTTGGGTGAACTGGCGGAGAAGTTCTTGACATAAACGTGCAGTATCCCAAGCCCTTCGTTTTCGTCGTGATGAGTTTATGTGCTGAAAATAAACAACGTTCAATGCACAACGAGGAACTCATTGACCACAGGTGTCAGGCAGTCACTGAGTTACATCTTGAAAATGTTCAACGTTCCTGGCATTGCTCAAGCTCACAAGTGAGACAAAAGTAAAGGTTAAGCAAAAGACCATTCAAAACCTAACACAGAACGTGTCTCCCGAACCTGTGCGAATTTTGTCAACAATGATGTGTAAAGGTCAGCTATTCAAACTCCCACATTCATGTACCCGATACACGGTACCATGCTAAGGACTGTTTGCGACGCGCCGGGCTGCGGGCTGGGTCATCGCTGCCGAAAGGACGCGATGACCCTTGCTAGACACAGGGCTAGGGACACCCTTATAATCAGCCCCTAGGGACACCCTTATAATCAGCCACAGTTCTCGTGGTCCGTGCGCCCAGCCAAATCTCGTTGTGCTTGTTCCAGCCTAACTCTAATTCAAGCTCACAAAAAGGGGTGAGAGGGTGGAGCAGATAAATCATGCTGTTTTTTGTTTTCGCAAAGAGGCTGTCAAAAGGCGAGGAAGACCACTTACGCAAAACGATTGTCGGTGTATGACGACCAGAGCAAACAGGTGAATGCTATCGCGCGATGGAGTAGATTGTGCGGCTTTAACGTATCGTGGACTACTGGCCCCAGTTTAACGTCTCTCTTGGTGAACTAAGCTCTGAACACCTCGGTGTGTCCAAGTGGAAACACAATTCGCCATACATGTATGAATGGGCTGTGCATGCCTTAGTGGACAAACTAACGCCCATCTTCAGCCCATTGACGTACAGCCAGAAAAGCAGTTTTGCAGGTAAGGTGGTACGCCAATAAAGACTTCGCTAGTTGTTCCCCTCAGCTCGCTGGCGTATGACGGGCGGACGTGGATTTTGCATGCCTGCAGTAGTGTTCACCTCAGCTCGCTGGCGTATGACGGGCAGACGTGGAAACTGCATGGCTGCAGTTATGTTCACCTCAGCTCGCTGGCGTATGACGGGCGGACGTGGAGACTGCATGGCTGCAGTAATGTTCACCTCAGCTCGCTGGCGTATGACGGGCGGACGTGGAGTTTGCATGGCTGCACTTATGTCCTTTGGTTAATTATCAGGAGAATTTCTATCCCGACGCTGAGCGAGCGTCACCGAGACCCTTAGTTTTAGCTGTCTGTGTTTCGAGCAGCTTTTGGAAAAATACTGTGCATCCACTGTTAGGATGTAAGCTTGGCTGTTTGATGATTTCAGTATGTTTTTGAATTGGCAGTATGCACATGATCAAAAGATGTTCTGTTTAAGTATCACCTTAGGCTTTTAGCCGTACTTTTGTGCTTAGCTTTGCACACCCATGACCCCGAGCGCTGTTGGACACGTCGAACATGCTAATTAATTATTTCTTTGATGTCTTGTTGTTATTGTTAAGCCACCACCCCTGACAGTCTGCGGGCGCCTATCTCCATCACAATTCATGGACGTCGAAACTCTTCCTGCGTCGAAACTCTTCCTGAAACTCTTGTCTCTCTTACATCATATCAGGTGGTCCCGTTGCAACTGCACCAAAGACCCAAACCACTGCGAAGCTGGTGGTGGGCTATATTTCACTTAGATAAGACGGTAGTAATAACCTTATTCCCAGGAGAAAAACCAGGAGAATGAAGATACAGATGGGCTGATATTTCGGCGACATGCCTTTATTGAAACAGTGGCAGAAGTGGTATGACTGTGATAAAGACATGTTACTGCAATATCAACCCATCCATATCTCCATTCTCCTGTTTTTTTTTCCGAGGAATAGGGCTATTACTACCGCATTATTTCTGTGAACAGTGTTCCTCGCGAATGCAGAGAACAACTTACATATATACTTCAGTTGCTCTTATGGACAGGGTCGACAGTGAGAAGAGGATGGGCCGGCCCTGCTCCTTCGGACAGGCCCCAATGTAGATGTTGTCATCGGAGTCTTCACGGGACCTTCAGCAACCCAGGCCTCATGGCGTCGCCCACCTCTCATCCTGACATGCGCGGGCTGTCGTCCGCCGATGTCTGCCGAGTCTGAAGTGATGTCTGTCTGCGGAGACCCGCGGAGAATCGAGCTCCGCACCTGCTACTGCCAGCCGCTCAGCGACACCCCCGCCCTGTCAGCGCCCCGGTCGCCGTGGATCGCCACCCCAGCGTCGTGGCAGCGGACCGTTTGGCGGGTGGCGGGAGCTCGCACAGACAGACAGGCAGCCATCGACAGACTTCAGACCGGGCAGACTTCGGCCTCTGGCTTCAGGCAACGTCGGCGCAACAGAGAGCTTGTGGTCGACGAGCCGGAGTAGATCATGTCGGATGCTACCTCGTGGAGGAAGGCCATTTGCAGTCTGAGTCAAGGTCGTGTGCGAGGATATAATCCTCGCGATCCTTGTGGAGTGACGGCCGCCCGTCGACCAGCCACGAGCCTGAGTCTCAGCAGACAGCGACGGCCTGCCCGCCAAGCCACAAGATTGGTATCAGCAGACAGTGACTGCGTCCCCGCCGACCCACAAGATTAGGTATCAGCAGACAGCGACGGCCTCCCCACCGACCCACAAGACTGGGTCTCAGCAGACAGCGACTGCGTCCCCGCTGACCCATAAGCCTGGGTCTCAGCAGACAGCGACTGCGTCCCCGTTGATCCATAAGCCTGGGTCTCAGCAGACAGAGACTGCGTCCCCGCCAACCCATAAGCCTGGATCTCAGCAGACAGCGACTGCCTCCCCACCGACCGACAAGACTGAGTCTCAGCAAACGCCGACGGTCTCCCCACCGACCCACAAGATTGGGCATCAGCAGACAGCGACGACCTCCCCACCAACCGACAAGACTGAGTCTCAGCAGACAGCGACTGCGTCCCCGCCGACCCACAAGCCTGGGTCTCAGCAGACAGCGACAGTCTCCCGCTGACCCACAAGACTCGATCTCAGCAGACTCGGGTAGCGTCCGTGCCGTGCGGCGCAAGCGGGTGGCTTGGCGCGTGACTCCGTCCACCCCTCCGCCGCCCAGCAGCGGGCAAGCTGATCACATTACCTCACCACAAGCACCGCGGCATCGACCTGATAGGTCTCGCGTAATGCCCATTTGTTGACAACGTGACGTAAGCGTGAAAGATATTCAGCTCCTGGCTTTCGACATTATGAGTTCATCGCTCTCAGACTGAGTTATCGACTTTCAATAGGTGCTGGAGTACATTGGCAGTGGCAGTTCAGTGGCACACTGAACTCATAGTTCGTTCACAACCTACCGTTCGCGCCCTGGTTCCAGTGTTCAGAGCTGGCCGGGTGCTACACAGCTTCAGGCATCAGTGGTGCCGATGTGGATAGTGCGGCGAGGGATGATCACGATGCTTCTGAAACAAGGAAACACCCTCGATAAACACCCATTCAAGCCCGCCGTGGAGTACGAAAGCGCGAGAATAAACTCCTGAAAAACACAAATGTCGTAACATCGGTGGATTGGCAAACAGTCGTCATTGCCTCGCATAGTTTGCGCTGAACGGCCCTACTTTCAACGGGGACGCAGGGACATACATCACTGAATAGATCGACTGCCTTGAGCAGCATTGACTTTTCTGTCAATTGATCGCTACATAGTCGGGCAAACTCGCATTCACAGCCGCTGGCACCGAATGACGGGCCTCTTCAGGGCGTTCGGGACAAATGCGATAGAGATGGAGCTAAGCCATGGCATATGGCAGTCACCTGTCTGCGGCAATGTGGGGGGGGGGGGTCCGTCGACAAATCATCACGTGGGTAACGCCACAAAGTCTCAGATCTTTCATATTTTTGACATAACTTAGCAAGGTCCACGAAATTAAAGCCTCTTTCATAGATTTTTTTTTTAAAAGTCACGAAGTTACAAGGTCAATTGACCCGGGACTCCTCACGGGGATCTTTAAGATTCTTCGGTTTTGTAATTTAATAAATTCTTTAAAATTCTTCTGTAAAATTCTTATGAGTGCGTGCGTGTATGATTATTGAGCATTGGTACTGTATGTGCAGAGATATTAATAAAGGGGTACACTGGATGGCCCAAATAATCTGGTGACCTGTATTGGCCGACGTAAGTACTGAAATTGCATGTATATATATATATATATATATATATATATATATATATATATATATATATATATATATATATAGATCTATGACTTTGGTTATATGATAAATTTAAGTCGTTTACGGTTTGTTGAGAGTTAACAGTTTTGGTGAAATATGTTTGGTGGCTTGTTCGTTTCGTCTCTATGCTGATGCAGTCATAGTTTTGTAAGGGAGCTTAACTCTGGTGATGTCATCATCCGATTTTCTGATGCTGGCTTTGTATGTGGTTAGAAAATTGATCCACAAAAGCTAACATTTTTTGCCAAAATGCGTATCGCAGTCTCTAATATCGAACAGTAACCCTCTAATACGCTCTAATTCCTGACCGAAGAAGGTTCCCGAGAAACAATTCCAAGTGCTCTATGGACATGAATACGCACAACACCCTCTTTATTTCGGTCAGGGCACGCAATTGAGCATGGAGGCTACAGCCTGAGCGATGGCGATTATGATCAATTATATTTGCGAGAAGGGGATAAGCCAGCTGGTCATATGCGCACAACAGCCTCAGCCGATCGTTATTTGTACACATTTGTGAAAGAACAATGACCTTGTGCACAAAGACGTTAATGAAAGGCCGTTAACAGCCTGAGCACATCAGGACAAATCATTGATGTACCGGCCGCAATGTTTGATGCGTCATCGCTGCCTAACAACGGTCCGGTGAAACCATATAGGCCTCGGCAAATAGCGCCCATTGAGAAATCCATTCAGCATCATTGAACAGTTGGTAGGGCTTGCCATCGAGGCACCGAAAAGGCGCTTGCATGGAGGCAACTATAGCAGCTTCTATGTGATAAGGCTATGTGGTGGCATGTATTGCGTGGGCGAATCTAAAGCGATAAGGCAGACTTTCGCCGTGCCAACTTTAGGATATCATTGAAGTTGCAAGTAGAACGAAGTGAGCATACCACTAAGATGTGTTGTAACATCATTTAAACGTTTGGCAGTCTCGTACGGGGGAAAACTCCGAGAAACCACAAGGAGAGGGGTGCCGGATTTAGAATATTTAGGGTTTGGTCAGTGTCATAGAAAGATCCAGGTGAAAATCATTCACTTAATGTTTCGACGCCACAACTCAGGTATCGGCGACATCAATAAGTTGGTTACCGTTTCTTTGCATAATCGGTCCGATTACTGGCAATCCAGCCAGCTTTGGTTCCAACTCTGTTGCCAGTGTTTCTGAGATAATATTGTCCATCCAAGATGACATAATTGGCCGATTTGCCAATCCTGCAACGACTGAAAGCACCATTTGCCACCAGTACTCTTTTGACAAGCAAATGCTTTCCCAAGTCTTGTGGTTAAATACGAGTTCGACCAGCATAGCTTATCTGGTTGACTTCGGCCTGCAACCGCATCTTGAAATTGAAGCTCGAGATGAATCTACGTGTTTCATCTCAAGATTGCCAACATTGTCATAGGACAGAGTGATCTCAGCTTATTTCTTTGATCAAACCTAAGGCACACGAGGAAACTCGGGTTTGCGTCCAGGAACTCCTCTTGTTATTCAGTGAACTAGCGCCATAAAAGGTCTAAAAAGCTTTCCGACCCTCAGGAACTCCTAAAGCGGCGTTCAAAACCGCTGTTTGCTCTTTGAAGTGTGTGATTCATCTACCTCTTCAAGGACCTCTTATCGAGTAGCTCCTCAAATACTTCATCTGCACGGTCTTTCAATTTTCCAGGAACGTCAGGCTTGCATTACGTTCTTCAGCGCGCATCCCACATCTCTTCGGTCAGATAGCAAACTAATTATTGTTTCTTAAATACTCGTTCACTGGTCTGCTTCTGGCGAATCCAGCGGGGGCCTGGTTCGGCTGCTTCAGTTGAACTTCTCTGTCGTGTAAGCTCAGATGAGTAGACTTAGAGAGCAGATTGTAGCAGCAGTACTATAAAAAGTGCATCACAACGAGAGATGTCATGACAAATGGACAGGGCCATATCATCAACTATTTCATATTTTGATAACCAAAAATCACGGAGCTGTCTTATGCCCTGAGTCCATCTGCGCAAACGCTCGGAAAGAAAAGGTCTTCAAGCAATGGTATTGTCAATAAACAAGTTCTTGCTCGTCATAGCCAAGGTTTATCTACACAGCCTTTCAATTCCTTAAGAAAACACCTCATGTAACGTTCTTTTTCGTGAATGATGTCCCCAATTCATATCTGAAAGCAGCAAATACGTTGTTGTAAATAACCCTATCAAAAATGAAGGATCTTTTTTGCATTACACTTCATCTGCTACGTTTCAGTCATTATAGACCGTCATCTCGATCTGACAAGAATATTTCTTAGACACGAATAAGCCATGTTACAGGTAAGTTGCGAGCTTCCTATCACAAAAAAACATTTTGGGTCGCAGTTTTACACGTGTATCGTCAGCCTCCTACTGTCCAAAGTTGTAGGTGTGTGGCCTAGTTCGTAGCTGTAGTTATGTGGACATAGTTGTAGTTGTGTGGAACTCCACGAATTGTTCTCAAGGTGTTCCCATGTGTATTTCGTCCAATCAGCCATGGTTTATCATACCACCAGTATGCATGACAGCTAATGACTTGGTATGTACCTCCCAAACTGCTGTCATTACTCCATTCAGCGTAGTGTTTACCTCAATAACTTTCAAAAAAACTTTCCATTATCCACAATTGAAATGACAACTTTGAAGGATTGAAGCTCCTTCCATGGGGATGTTGCAATAGGCGTTGTAAACTGAGTTAAATGTCTTGTACGCTTGAATTTATTTTCAACACGCGAGCACGCATGCCCAAGCAAACCGTATAATCCGGTCCGGTCTTGTTCCGTGGACTGCCAGGTCTTTTGAACCGACCCAATGTGCCCAGCGGATCCATCAGCCATACACGGACTGACTTCGTCCGTGAAGTGCTCCGGTCTGACCCGTGTAACGCGCTGGACGGGCGGCTCATTTCTCGAAATTACATGCGAACTCGTACGCTACGTTCAGATATAGCTTCGCAGAATTTATGAACAGGCGTGGTATCCGTACTACGGATGGAATAATTGCTCAGGTTATCGTCCTAGTCTGGTGCGTTTGTATGTGAGCAGCGAGCACTCCATCATACCAATCTCCTATCTATATGCGTATTTTTTCGCTTTCCAGTGCTGCCTTTTGTTGTTGATGATGACGATGATGATGGTTATCTCGCTCCACGCTGGTCAGAGATCGCCTTATAACCAAGCGTGCTCAGTCACGCCCGACTTCAGAGCTTCAGACCTGCCCGTTGCCACTCTGCGCTCCCGCAGTCTGACCAACAGAGGGCGACTCGTCTCTCCTTCATGAAATCTGCCACAGCTGCACGGCGTGTCGTATATGACGTTCCTCGTGACGTTTTTCAGCCGACGGTGGCGCAACGTTGAGAAGAGTTCTCCCGAGCGTTGAACTACTTCTGTAGACTGTCGTGACGTAATCCTCCTCAGGTTCTTCCCTCTTGAGAAACCTTAGTTGGAGGGTAATGATGCTGTCACCGTAGGTCTTGCCTCCGGCCGTCCTACTTGTTAGCGAGCTCTTTGAACCTGTGGTATATGACACATTTTTGGGCTCTCACTCCAGCTGAATGTCTTAGCCAGTTGGCATACTTCTCTGCTCCTAGTGACGTCATCATCGCTGGCGGTATTTACACGATACTGAAGGCCCCTAACGGTACCTTTCTTGACCTTGTCAGGGTGAGGTATCCAAAAATTAGGCTAGGGGCCAGGCGCTTTCGGCTTGAAGCAGTCATTAATGAACGTAATTCATCTTCATATATTTTGTGTCTGGATCATTATTGGACATCATGCGCTGCGCTGAGCTTGTGCGACACGGAGCTACGTAATTGACTTTAAAAAGATGCGAATCACCATAATGGCTTACGCAATCAACTACTATGTTACACCCAGACGCTTCGCTAAAGCATAGGGCCAGGCTGATTCACTATGTATCAAGTATACACTGATGCACGCTGGAACTTACTGTTCTGTTAGGATTTTTAACTAGGTTTAGGCTTATTGAGCGAGTTGGGGTTGGAGTTACCCCAATCCCAACTCTCCAACTTTCCCGATTAGGAAGTTAGGGTAGGGGAACTCCAGCTCCTCCATTTTGGTATCAGCTCCCAGCTTGCCAGTTAGTTCAATACCCGCTGTTCCGGTCCGGAAAATGCAACGGGCGGATTTTGGACCATCTTCGATTTCAAGGGTGCTGTAACAAGAACGTTCTGGCATAACAAACCGCGGCATGACACCACTATCCAAAGGCGTGCATCTAGCTGGGCATCCACATGACCACTTAACGTGTTGAAAACAAAACAAGCGTGTTGCGGTCGGACCGAATCGCGGCATGGTAAGCCGTGGCGCGCTTGAGCGCAACTACGTCGCGGCGCGAGGTTCTAAATGCATGCACCTGAAAAGAGCCACGTGTCTTATACTGACCTTTCCTTGCCCTCAGGGGCCTTATCCTCGGTGTGGCACCACGGTATACTCCGATTGGTCGAACGCAGCCACATCGGCCGTCCATTGGCCAACGGCTGGCCTGACGTCAGCGGGCCGCCAGTCGCCGGTTGGTGGATGACGCTGACACTGCGCTGTGATTGGCGCCGCTGAAGGTCAATGCCAGTGGAGACGCGGCGGACCGATGCCGAGCTTGCAATGCCCCCGCTACTCTCGTGCCACGTGAGCAAGTGCCTGAAGGAACGGCGAAAAGCGTGCGGGAGGTTGTGCAACGGCTTTGGCATAAAATATCGGGCCACAACCGCGTATGAGCGCTTACTGCGCTCTTCACACATTAATAAGGATTTAATCGTGATAGAGGGTAGCAGTACTGCCCAAAGTCCTCATGGGACCACCGGAGGTAGTAATATTCCAAACGCACGCGCTGTTTGTTGGATTAGATTGTCCCCACGCTAGTGCCACCTAAGACATCACTCCGGAACCCGAACTAGATAATAGCGACGAGGGAGCAACTGACCTCTTGTACTTTAGTCAAAGCAGTATCATCGCAGCTTTCATATCGCACTCCCCGACAAAAGCCTCAGGCCCTCAAGGCATAATGGCGTGCCATGTCGAGGAGGATGGAGCGCGTCCCATGGCGAGAGCTCCGACACGTGCAATGCATCAAAGTTGACCGCGAGTGACACTAGTATTGCGTCAGCCACCCGCCATCACGGCGTCCAATAACAGTCGACGGATAACACGAACGACTTGTCCAAACTTTACAGCCCGTTATGTAACCGGGGGCACCGCCGGCTGCGGGCCGCGCCAGCGATTGCTCCAGCCAGGCATGCATCATGCCGTTGGCAGCGACATCGCCTCTGAACCCTGAGGCCGCCGATCGGCACGAACCACTGCCGAAAAAGGCCGTGCCACCGGGGAAGTGAACCGGAAGTCGATTTAACGGCCCAGCAGCGAGGGTTAGGCAGTTCATGGAGGTTGGCTCCAGCAGTTGACTTATGTGTACACACAAACGCCTGTGAGCAGGAAGCTCATCGAGCCCGCATACCATGCGTGCTGTCACCGGCAAATGTGATGCGGTCGCAAACAACAGGACCGCGCGGTGCCGTGGTGATCTGATTCAGCTTTGTTTGCTTCCCCTCGCTGAGAGTCGAGGTTACTCACAGGTCTCGCTCTATCGTTCTGGCTGAGCGAGTAATGTGCCACGGAGAGAAGCGCTGAACATGGTCCACCACAAAATAGTGAAATAGGTCTAAAAATAACCCAACTATGCGATGCTAACCCCGTCCTGATAGCGAGGGGGGACGATGCGACCTCGTGAGGATTTTTGGACACACCTCCGGCATGTTGTGCTATTACGCCCAAATTTTGAGTAGCCTAGCGGGCATCCACCGCGTGTTTGTACACCATAAACGTGTTCCTAGCGCTTCTGGCTTCGGAGCAGCGGTGGTTTTTCAGGAACGCTGCACGGCGATCCACGGTCAGCGCAGGCGGCGGGCGGCAGCCGACGATGCTGTGTGGCGTGCGCAGTGGGCGGTTATTGCTGCAGTATAAGAGCCGCGTGGTATTTTCTGGAAACTTTGACCTCTGACCTAGCAAAATGGGATCAATTGTTAACCTAACAACATACAAACTATAACCAATCGCAAGACGACGCTGAGGACGATCCGCTGATGTTTTCCGCCAGGCTCCATCCACATTTATTTGGAAACGCCAGGGAGTCGTATCGACCCCTCCCCACATCGGTGCCGTTATCAAAAACAGCGATTCACGGCGAAGTTTAAAAGTTGAAACTGCATTGAAAAGATTCAAAAATCCTCCAAAATCTTTGCATTTCAACTCTGAGTCCAAATCTGGTCCAACCACTAACATAGGGTTAGAATTCTAAGTTGCACCGAATCCCAAGCTCTGTGTAAATTCAAGGGATGCGCAAATATAGCAGCCTACTGTGACCAAGCGTCTGTTTGGGTCAATGGCCTTGACAAATAATGACACCACGAGTGACGATCTATGTTTTCATGTGAGGGCCCTAGTCCGCCAATGTTGACAGCTTCCTCCTACCCCCCCCCCCCTACCCCCATGCTATTGCGAGCCCCTCCAATATGTTTGCTTGAATGTTACGTAAATGACGAAAAGGTGAATGATTTCACTGCTCACCATTTTTCGACATGATGTACTGGTATGATCATCATTGCGCAGAAAGGAAGAACTGTTTTAGGAAATGGTAAAAATAAACCATAAAAATTGTCATTGGTCAAAATACAGTGAGCCAAATCCGTTGAGAAAGATTCTTAGTTGAAAGGTCAGCTGTCCAGTCCCTGGCTCGCCCCTCTCCCAATAACTTACACATAGGGTCTGATCGACGAAAATGGACGACGTTTGAAAGAATAAAGCGGGACCGACTTCACACTGAACAATCGTTCACGCATCCCTGATATGTTTCGTTCAGGTATTACAACGGCAATCAGCTTGGTGACGGACATCAAGAACGTTTTCAGAGAACCAAGCGAGCCTAGAACACACGCGATGTAAATGTAAAGCAAAAAGCAAGGCAAGCTAATGGACAGGGATCTTCAACACGTTGAATTTCGAAAGCCAAACTGAAAATCCGTCTTGTTGGTTGGTGGATGGAAGTGCGTGTGTGTGGGGGGGGGGGCGGGGGGGGGGACCGAAACGATGCAGCCTTCTCTTATTGGCAAACCGATCATTTCCAACCACATTTAGGCCACAAGATTGATCTCGATTAAAATTCCGTCCTGTATTGGGGTATTCGCGAGGGTTTCTCGTATTACGCTGTTCATACATGCAGGGCGTTCCAAGAAAAGAGGGCGGATTGAAGTCAGGCATAATCCAGACGAATATTTCCTTCGTAACACGAGTGACGCTTTGATGTGAAGGGCATTCGATGTTATTATGAGTCTGACCACTGGACTCTCCAAGCCGTTCCCAGGTTCGACAGTGCAGCGCGTGCTCCATGTCGCCCCCACCTCGCTCCAGGCACTGTACCGCCCCAGCCTTCACTGAGTCAATGACGGCATGGTGCATCACTGGCTCTTGACCCGCATGGCAAATCTCACACACCTTATGGGTCCAGGATAGTTTTCAGATCCTATGAGAAATCCGCCACTTCAAATGAGTCATAAAAACCTGTGGTACTCAGATGAAGGGAAAATGTAGGCCTGTTGTTTGGCTCCGTCCACGAAATTAATCAAGTCCCAGCCGGTCTCCGGGCTATCAAGGCCAAGGTCCCAGCCGGTCTCCGGGCTACCAAAGTCCGGGTCCCAGCTGGTCTCCGGGCTTTCGTCCCGTCCCTTTGCCATCGCGGTATGCGCCACGTCCCGTCCCTTCCCGTTGCCATCGCGGTATGCGCCGCGTCCCGTCCCGTCCCGTCGCCATCGCGGTATGCACCGTGTCCCGTCCCGTTGCCACCGCGGTATGCACCGTGTCCCGTCCCGTTGCCATCGCGGTATGCGCCGCGTCCCATCCTGTCCCGTTGCCATCGCGGTGTCCTTCGCTTCCCGTCCTGTCGCCATCACGGTATTGGTCCCGTCCTGTCCCGTCGCCATCGCGGTATGCGCCGCGTCCCGTCCCGTCGCCATCGCGGTATGCGTCCCGTCCCGTCCCGTCGCCATCGCGGTATGCTCCGCGTCCTATCCCGTCGCTATCGCGGTATGCGCTCCACATCACCTGGCTGAGGCTGCCGGAGTGACGCGTCATCACCTCAGACGTCCCTCACCTCACCACGGCCCCTCAAAACCGCTTGGAACTCGTAAGCGGCCGCTACGTAGCGTTTAGCCGCTGCGGTCACTCCGGCCTCTCGGCTGTCCTGAGACCAGCAGCGGCCAGTTACGCCTCGACTGCTGATAGTGCAGTATGCGGTGCAATTTTCACCGTGCGTGCCCCTCTATCGTCAGACAGGGGGACAGTCTACCCTCATTCTTACAACCTTTTTGCCGACAAAAACACATTTTTCACACAAATCCTCACTAAGTCGCCATGATCCCAATTTTTCCCCCAATGAAGATATCTGTCATCGGTAGGATTACATTGCTACAAAGCTAGTGCGACGCTGATAGAACTACAACACCGTTTGACGATATTCTCCCTATACTGGTCGAGCGCTGCCTGCTGCCTGAACCGCCTTCCGTTCTTGGATTTCAAAGCCGGATTAGGAGGTAATGCATGATTACGTGCCTGCTGCCTGTAGATATCAGACACTTTTTAAAGCGAAAGGTGAAAACTAATGCTGAATTGTAGTGGACGTGCCATAGTGCATCTCATTCATTCCCATTCCCAGCTACCACAGCTGTTTTTGTGCGCTCACCGTCCATGCCCATCACGTGCTTTCACCAACTCCACCGCCATGTCGTTCTAGGATCTTTGGAACGTAGGCAGATGAGCCCTGCAATCTTGTGCAGTTTTCTTTTGTTCATTGAGCACCTTAATTCATATGGAAAAAGTGTCTGTCATGATAGGTCTGTGTCTATGGCACGTGGCACTATGGCACTGCCATGATGATGATGATCTATGGCACTGCCATGATGGATTGGGATTTGGTAATTCTGGATTTGTGGGATAAGCCAGTTCACGCTAGGCAGTGCTTGTTGTCTGAGCCCTGACCTTTACCATCCGATCACGAAATCAAGGTGAACGGCAGAATTTGGTGACGAAAGTTTAATGTGCCATAATACCCGGCACAGTCTGTCCTGCCCTCCGACATTGTTTAAATACTGTTTCAATCGTTGGTATAGTTTCAGACCTCATGCCTACAACCAAAAATTGATGGCGCCGCCGCTGCCAGATAGCCAAGCAATTTTTCCGTGTTTTTTTTTAAAATATAGAGGCCTTTTCCTCAGCCGTTTCACAGTGGTGAAAACTCACAGCCTTGCTCTGCCCCAAGGCAAACATTGTTGGCCTGATATGACTCTGACACAAAACATACGCCGTCGGACGTTTCCCGTTGCCTGCTTTTTTCGACAGTTATTTGCACTGCATCAGCGGCTGAAGCCGTGATATCGGTGACTCGTTATTTGGCTGGTGCTCCTTTTGACGGCAAAAGACATTGGGATACGTTTGGCATGTGACTTCCGGTAATCGTGGCAGCGGGATCCGGGAAACTCTCCTGACATAATCACTGGGGGCTTATGTAATCGCTAGTCATGATGACTGGGCCAAATTGCCGACCCCGCAACATTTGGCCACGCTGAAAGGCCTCCAAAGCGCGTGGATGGCTACAGCCTAATGAGACCCGCCGAGGCCGAAACCCGATGGGTGCGGCGACGTCCCAGTCACTCAATGCCGGCTTCAAGGCATGGGCGCAATAGCCGAGTGGCTAGCATGTAGAATTCCCGCGTGGAGAACCCGGGTTCGGATCCCGGTTGCGCCACTGGCCCGTGGTGCCCAAATGGCCAATGCGGTCCTTGCCGATTCACAGAAGACGTGACAAATTGCGTCGCATGCTCTGTGAAGCGCTATGCACGGGACCATACATGCATTCACACAGACACATTGTGCGTTGTGCTGGGGTCAATGCCCATAGTCGTACGAATGTTGACCCTGTGTATACGCTTCTGGTTGCCTGTAGCCGACCAAAAGTATATGCAAACTTGCAAAAAATGACAATCTCAATTACGCTGGAGACTTAACAAGTGGACAAATGACAAGTTGGTCGTGCGCACCACCACCGCGCTCACCACCCCTCACGTGGTCGCACTCAAAGCCTCACGACGAGACGACGGGCGCAACCAACTAGTAAAACGACATAGTATGGTAGCTATCCTGCAGCAGGCAGCAAGGATGACGACGCGGTTCGATACTGCCATCCTCCGGATTTTTCGCCAATGGACTGAACAAGACCAAAGAGAGAACTACGACAAGCACCGATCGGGTAGTAGAAAGCGCGCCGCTGCGCGTGCATTCTGTCACAGGTCAACCGAATACATTCGCAGTCAGTCGAGCAGCACGAGGCGCTCTGGTGAACGACAGGACACCGCGCAGAGTGCTCATATTTCGAAGCTCACCAGTAATAACCTGACCAAGCGAATAACCTGACCCAGCTAACCGCCGCCTGCCGTTAGACTTTGAATACGATTTCAAGGGTGAAATAGCCACAAGGTTCGTTCGTCACTGAGTTCGTGAAGTAGCTCACTTAATAAAGTGTTGGCCTAAGCCAGCGTGCAGTCGTGTGGGCAAGTGCTTGCGTGCCGCACCGGTGTCTGGTCAGTCGCTTGTTCCCACCGACATCACAGTTACTGCCGCTAGCAGCCACGGACCAACGACGCAGCATAGGCCAACAGATAGTACTGCGCCGGTGTCGAGCAGCACTGATGATGGCAGGGAATCAGTTCCCACGCCTTCTGCGGCGGATCTGAGGCTCCTACGTCGGAAGTTGTACGTCTTGTCAATCGGTCACCCACCTTACGTATGGTACTCATCGGAGATCTGAGCAGAAGCACTGGCAAGCTACCGTGTTTGTGGGACGCGGCGTGTCAATGCGCCCACTCACTTCTCATCACGCTTGTTGGAGACAATTGTGGAGGATAACTAACTATGCAGAGTGACAGCGCCCATCGCACTGATTTATGTGATGAACTAAATGGCGTCTTGCAAATCAGTATCATCTCATTTTACCATCCATGTGGGTTATATCGCCCTCGTTCCACTCCGCATGAGCACAGACGACAAGCGATGCATGGCACCTGTTCATTCCACGTCCGCTCAGCGTTCTCAAGGCTGCCGCATTTTGGTGTTGTTCGCTTCATTGTTCACAGCTACTGGTGCTGAACGAAGAGCATCCCATGTAAAAATGCGTGGGATGTCCTTCTGCCATGCATGTGAAAGGCATAACATC